TGGGGCAATCCTCTTGCCTCACCCTCCCAGAGTGCTGGGACTACAGGCATGTGTCACCATGCCTAGTTCCCTGTTTAAAAGTCAGCAACTTGGGCTTCATGATCTCTAAGGGCCTGACCAGTTTTAACATTTGGTGAATTTAAAGGATTAAAGGAATGTCTTTACCAATTATCCATTGGATCTTTTTTTACAATTTCAACTTTCTTCCTTACTGGTTCTTCTTCCTTGGAGTATCTCCTTGAAAACCCCAGTGTATCAATTTTAAGCACATTTAGTTTTTACCTTTATTGTACACAAAAGTGCCTTAAGAGAATTTTTTTTTTTTTTTTCCCGGTACTGGGAATTGAACTCACGACCTTGCACTTGTCAGGCAGACACTGTGCTGCTGAGCTAAATCCCCACCCCAAGAGAATTTTTGTAAGAGAAGTGCATTCTATCAAAGAGGTCAAAACATGTTCTGTGTTTTCAAATACAAAAGATAAGGTATTGTATAAAAGCACACATTTGTTAATATCTTTTGCCTTTATTGTAAAAGAGGCCAGAACAGGCAGCCTTGTGTGCTTTAATTAAAAATAAAAAATATTGTGTTCACTGCATCCTAAAAAAAAAAAAGAAATAGTTATAATTTAGATAAAAGGATGTTTGTTAAGTATTATTCATAAGAGAAAAATTGTAAGCGACCTAAATGTTCAACAATAGGGTTAACTAAATTATGGAATATCCACTTGACAGTGCTCTTAAAAATGGTGATGCAGATGTTTACAATATATTAAGTGAAAAAAATCAGTTCCCAAACAATATGGTCTAAATTAAAAAAAATACAAACATTAAATTGAGATGTGACATTGCTGACATTTGATCATATTTAACCTAGAAAATCAGCAACTTCATATGATTTTATATATATATATATATATATATACACACACACACACACACACACACACACATATATATGTCAGAAAGTATATCTATAGGAAGAGTTACTAGAAGGGAAGGTTTCCCACCAAAACACTGATGGTAGTTGTTTATGATTGATGGTTTTATGGTGCTTTATGTTTTTACTTAACCATATTCTTTTTTTTTTCTTTTTGGTTTATGATTTTTTTTTATTTTAAAGAGAGTAGTAAAAAAAAAAAAAAAAACAATAGCAGCATACCAACATCACAGACATAAGCAAAACGAAGCAAGAACATTAAAAGCGATACAGGATTTCAGAACAAAATGATAGGAATTAACAGTGGTTATTATATTACATATTGTTATCTTCAACTGCATTGCTCAGTTAACTATATTCTTATTTAACTATATTTTCTAAAACTTTTATGAATAATTCAAATACTCCTAATAAAAATAATCTCCTAGGAAAGTATTCCATTGTGTGACCAGTAATTCTCATCCCCGAATACCTTGTTTATCATCTGTGTTTAAATGCTCTACAGTGATTGCAATTGCATGATTGTGGGCAGGATGGAAAGCCCTCCTCTTTATGCGCTTTTGGTACAGGGTGGTTTTTATACAGTAGGGACTGTTCAGAACACTTTGCTGATGGGCCTAGCTTTTCAAAGCCCTCTTCATCTCTTGCTGCCCTGTACAACCGACAAATGTTTTCCATGAGCCCTATCACTGGGGCTTCAGGCCAGCTGTGTCCCTAATCTGCCCACGTCCCAGATTTGGGTATGGTTCAGGCTCCAACTGTTCCCCCATTCTACCCCCTGTTTCTTTCAATCTCATCTCTTCCAGGTCGTCAGAGCCCTCATCTATCCTCCCTGGCCCTCCTCGCTAATTTTACCATTTAATTTCATCCTTTTGTGTACAGCTGGTGTTTGGTTTTGGTGGGGCTCAGTTTGCAGTGGCAAAGGATTAAGACTCACGCTGTCTTTTTCTTTTTTCTTAGTGCCCTTGACTGCTGTAGGGGCTAACAGGCAGCTAGCAAGGCCTGTATTCCCTAGGAAGAAATAAGAGAGGTGGCGGGGGAAGTAGTGGCAGGCTCAGCTGGCAGGCGGGATAGAGATGGCCTCTAGGGACCCTGTCCTGGGCCTTGGAGCATGACACAGACACCGCCTAAATGTGAGCACGGAGTGGAGCTGTTTCTGCCTAAGAAATTAGCCCCAGAGGTGGTGCTTGGGACGTTTATCCTTGGTACCCAATGGCAGCCTCTGAAAGGTGAGCCAGGACTGGATATCTGGTTTGCAGAAATCTGAGATGGAGTATGGGTACAGGAGTAAGGGTAGTTTTTCTTCTTCAGATTGGGTGATTTATAACCCCAGCCCCTACTATGGAATGGTTCCAGCTATCCTCAGAGATTGAGCACTTACCCTAACAGGTGATGGTGTGTAATTAATAACAAAAATCCCTTATGTGTGTATAGTACTTTACAGTTTATAAAGCCCTTCATCTCCAAGAATTAAAAGCTAACCCTGGCATTCAAGACTGAGATTCTAAAACCTGGGCCAACAGATTTTGGTGTGATAGTGCATGGCACTCTGAGAGTAGTTTGCATCTAGCCTTTTCCTGCTAGCCTGAGACTTCTACTTCTTTTCTTTTCTTTTTTTTTTTTTTTTTTTTTTTTTTTTTTTTTTTTTTTTTTTTTGAGACAGGGTCTCGCTATGCAGTTCAGGCTGGCCTTGAGCTCACTTTGTAGCCCAGGCTGGTCACGAACTCGCAATGATCCTCCTGCCTCAGCTTCCCAAGTGCTGGGATTATAGGCGTGCGCCACCATGCCCAGCACTTCTACTTATTTTCAGGGTGATGATTTTTTTTTTTTTTTGAGACAGAGTCTTGCTATATAGTTTGGGCTGGCCTTAAACTTGTGGCAGTTCTGCCTCAGTCTTGAGTGCTGGGATTATAGGTGTGCACTCCCACACCTGGCCAGGGTGATTATTAAAGCTATACATTCTATGCTTCTAACAAGCATCTTTAAACATTATATTCCATTGGCTAGTACTTCAAGGCATAGACAACACTAAGGTTCATGTATCTGAATTTGGTGGGTAACAGGGAGGTAGTGGAAGTGGTGAGATGCCTGGTGATTGATCTTCAGTATTCATCTTTCATAGTAGCAGATTTTTCTGTCAGATAGGGGAAGGAAGCTTCTGAGGTCCAGAAATGGTACAGCTAGAGCTCCTTGAATCAAAAGCACAGCTGAACTTGAAGACTTGAAGCAGAGGATCAGTGTATTTAGGAATAGGAGTTTTACTCCTGGTACACAGAATGACCCTGGCCAAAGTTACCTGTTTAAGCATCAGTTTGCTTATTTAAAAAATGTGATCAATTCATGTATTTGTTCAATAAATATTATGTGTGCACTGTTCTGAGAGATGAACAAGAGGGACAAAATCCCTGTCCTCTTGAGCTTGAAGTCTTGCCAGTCTACACTGCAACAATGTATTTAAGAGAGACAATAAATAGATAGATAGATAGATAGTAGAAAATCAGTCAGGGTGTTACAAAAGTGCCAGGATTAAAGTAGGGCAGGGGTGCCCGAGTGGAGTTTATTAGTCAAACTCCACTAATAGGTGGTCCTCGGGATTTTGTTTTATTTTATTTTATTTATTTATTTATTTTTGGTTTTTCTCCGGTACCGGGAACCGAACTCACAACCTTGCGCTTGCCAGGCAGGCGCTTTTGCCGCTGAGCTAAATCCCCAGCCCCCGGGATTTTGTTTTAAACAGATATTACCTAACGTGCTCACCTCAGAGCTGACAGCAAGTGTGTGATTAACAGATACATTATTAAATCATCCACTTAAACAGCTCTCAGTCCGTATTTTAGCCTCCAGATAGTAGTAGTAGTAATTAAGGTTCACTGAGATCTGACTGTGTCCTAGGTACTGTTCTAAGCCCTTTACATATTTTAACTAATTTAGTTCTTATAGTAACCATATGAGGTAGGGACTATTATTATCTCTTTTATGGGGTCAGAAACTGAGGCACAGCGAAGGCCATCAGTAAGGGCTGGAGACTGAGCAGTGAACCCAGACAGACTGATTCAGAAGCCGAGTGGAGATGTGAGAGGGCTGTGTAGTGGCATGTGCAGGCTTTGATGTCAGATTGCCTGGCTTCTTATCCTGGCAGGTCTAAGCCTCAGCTTCAGGTTCCTCATTTCTAAGACGAAATACCAGAACCTATTTTACCTTCTGGGTATCTTGTTTAAAACAGCCCTTTTTCTGTTCTGTGGAGCCGAGCTGTTCAGAGATCAGCCCAGGAGGGAGTAGGAAGGGCCAAGGGGGCTCTGAAATTTGTGGAGGGCAATGAGTGCACACTAGGAAATTATCAGAGCAACCCTAAAAATTCATCTGGAGTCTAAATCTTGGAAGCTAGTTTTTTTTTTTTTTTTCTTTTTTAAATGATTTTTATGATTTTGAGCTAGGGCAGAATTAAGGGACTCCTAAATGCAGAAGACAGGTGATGGTGTGGTCTCACTACTTAGCTTACATTTCAAGCCTTACAGAGCTGCCAGGAGAGGTAATACTTTATCGAATGTCGTGGCTGGAAGATGGTCAAGCTAGTAGATGGGGCAACTGAGGCCCGGAGAAGCTGAGTGACCTATCCGAGGTTACTTGGTGCCTTACGAGATAGCCTGTTGGGGAAGTTGGCAGCAGCTTGTATGTGAGTTCCACTTTCCCTGGGGCTTCCAAATTTCAGCCTCTTTACCTTGCCCTCCTCCGGGAGGAAAAGGCCTCACCTGGGCCCCGGGCATTAGCCTTCTTCTTCCCCACGTGGGTGCCGCTGTAGCCTGGAACCCCGGGTGCACACAGGGTTCGACCTGCGCGTGCGCACAGCGGCCAGCCGCTAGCCTTACCCTAGTTCCTTCTCCTCGGCCCTCCTTTGCCATCCTCCGGGAGGTGTGGAGGTGGGGGGACAGGAGAGGAGCCCAATTCGGCCTCAGCCAATGGGCTGACGGGCCGCGGGCCCGGCCCCCTCCTTCCCTCCCGTGCGGTCCAATAGAAATTTACTACAATGTTGTGGCGAGCGGAGGGGGAGGGGCGCGCGGGCGGGCGGGCGGGCTGCGGGCCTCGCCTGCCTCGCCTCGCCTCGCGTAGGAAAGGCGGGAGGGCGCACGCCAGGGCTGCTCGCTCGCTCGCCGGCTCCCCCCCTCTCTCTCTGCCAGTGGGTTTAGTCAGTCAGTCAGCAGCCGGCGGGCCGTCGAGCCGCGGAGGGCCCGAGCCTCGGACTCCGGCGCCGCCTCCTGCCATTGTTCGTCTGGCTGTAGCAGCGACGGGCGCGGGAGCCCGGGCCCGGGAGCTACCGGTGAGGCGGCGGCGGCGCGAGCCAGGGGTGGGGGCGCCGCGTTGTTCCCGAGAGGATGGTCCTGGCGGCCTCGGCGGCGCCGCAGCCTCTTTGTCTCCAGCCCCCCGCAGGCCCCGGGCTGGGGGCGCGGGCTCTCCGGCCGAGGGGCCGCGTCCGCGTGCGGGACTGCCGAGGGCTGGAGCGGGGACGCGGCCTGAGGCGCCAGGGGCGGCAGAAGCAGGGGCAGGGGGCGCGCCGGGGCAGCGCTTCCAAGTTGGGCGCAGGGTGTGTTTCTAACGGGGGAAAATAGGTTCCTTCTGGTCTGCCAGTCATTACACCTTGGCCCGGACCCTCGGGAGGACGGCGGCGCGGGGCTTGCAGGTTCCCGCCGCGAAGGTGTGGGGGCAGCTGCGGAGTGATTTCCGGGCGACGAGGGTGCAGAAGTCCGGCGGCGTCAGAGGTGGAGGGAGTCTCGCAGCGCCTCCAGGCCTTTCCGCCTCGGACACCTGCATCGTTATAAAAAAAAAAAAAAAATCTCCAAATCCGCGGGATCCAACGGTTTCCCCCTTAGTCCGCACAGTTCCCAGGGAGCAAAGGGTTAAATCTGTCCTCTCAGCGTCGTGACCTCCTTTTTCAGTTTGCGCATCTGCCGGCTTGGAAGTATTTCCTCCTGCTTGCTGGGCGGCTGTACCTGTGGAGGGACTGGATCCAGGCTCACCCTCTGAGATTGATCGCCAGGCCTTTATTCCTAGGCGGACCCCCGCCCCCAGGGTCGTTCTCCCCCGGGACGGGCATTCTCTGGCGAGAGAAAGTGATCTCTCGTGGAACAAATTGCTGACGGATTGGTTTCTGGCCACATGATAGCGACTGTCATCCTGTTGTTTCGCAAACTGTACCCTACCACAAATGACTAGTCTGTGCAGACAGCGTTTTTTTAGGCATGTGTTGCTGATTAGGAGGTAGTCCCCCCGCCACCCCTTTCTTCTTTTTTAAGAGATGCAGAGCTGTTTTTAGTAGTCTGATTTCACAGCTGCTATTTTGTTCCTTCTGTTTTTAGGGGAAAATTGCAAAAAATGATTATGTCTTGTGTCTTAGATATTATAGTGGATTTATACTCTCTTCAGGATATACTGTGCTCAATGCTGTTGCTCATTACTGTTTTCTGTATTTGTAGTCCTGGCAAAATTTTTTAGTTGATTTGATCCTTTTAATCAAGGAAGATACACATGTCTTTAATGTGATTCCTCTCACCCTAGTTTTGGTAGTGTGAATTAACCCTTTTTAAGGAAACTTGATAACTCTTTTGTTTTCCTATTCTGTAAATTGAGACAGTGAATTCTTTCCCAGATGTAAAAGTTTTGGTTTAACAGATGAGTTTCTTGGGGTGTTACTTACATGTTCCATGTAGAGTACATAACGGAATATCTGGCACTAAGGACTTATTAAGTGGCAGATTAAAAGATTTGTAAGTGCCTGCCTGGCAAGCGCAAGATCCTGAGTTCAATTTCCGGTACAAAAACAATTTGAACTAAGGATGGTGATGTAGCTCAGTGGTAGAGCACACTGCCCTGGGTTGGATGCCCAACACCCCCAAAAAAGAATAGCTGAACATCAGATTGTCTTAGAATCGAAGTGCTTATTCAGAGTGCTTTCTACAAGAGGCTTATAATTAAGGTAAAACTAGGCATTATTTATATACTTGGGGAAACAAATACAGTGTATTTTGGTTGCTATTAAAAGTAAACTCATCATTGGACCTAACTTCAGTATCCTAACCTTCTGAGTATTCTTTTATTAGCAAAAGCATCCCTTTTTCCTCTGTATAATTGTTTTTTTTTTTTTTTCTCTGTATAATTGAATTCAGGCTTAGACATACATATTTTAAATCTTTAGGCCTCACTCAAATTCTTTCAATATTATACCACTTTATATCAAATGTCTTACATATAAGTTCTTGGCATTATGGCCCAATGTAATTTTT